AAAAATAGATGTTATTTAAAAAAATTCCCCCCCCCCCCCCCAAAAAAAAAATTAGAAAGAACTAAGAATAAGTTCCAGCTAGCAGGAAAACTACAGCTGGTTACAAACCTTAACGGTCAGTAATTCAGTTCATCTACTCACCATACATCAGAATAAAAAAATAAATGCTGAAAGGTGTTGTGAAGTGCAACATTACCGATTAGGAAGCTGCTCAAATGTTCCCATATTCGGTTGGCAACCTCCCACCATCATCTTCTTATACACAGCATAAGCCTCCTCGGCTTCCCCATATATACTGTATCCCCGAATAAGAGCATTATATGTGAAGACATTTGGCTCCAAACCCTTCAGCTGAAGCTGCTCATATATTCTCCAAGCTTCACTTATTTTCCCTGCCTTCCCAAAGCTGAAAATCAAGGAGTTGTAGCTATACAAATCTGGAACAATGCCCTTCTTCTGCATTTCACCAAAGAGAGCCATGGCTTCCTGTAATCTCTGACACTTGCCAAGACCATCTATCATGAAATTATAAGTCATAAGGTCAGGCTCAAGGCCTGAAGCAACCATTTCCTGAAAATACAGAAAAGCTTCATGGACTCTATTGATGAAGCAGAGAGAGTCTATCAAGATAGTATATGATTTCACATCGGGTTTTACTCCCCTTTCATGCATTTCTTCCAACAGTTGACAGGCACTTCGTGTATCACCAGACTTTGCATAACCATTCATGAGAATATTGTAAATTGCAGTATTAGGCTTGCATCCATAATCAAGCATCTCTTGGAAGAGATCTTCGGCTTCGGTTACTTTGCCAGACTTGAGAAGCCCGTTGATAAGAGGACCATATGTACATGGGGTTGGAGTGATCTCTCTGCTCACCAAATCATAGTAGAAATCAATAGCCTGATCTAATTTATTGGATCTAACAAGACCTGAAATAACTATATTGTAAGTAAAAATATTTGGTTTTCTTCCCTTAACATGCATCTCTTTGTAAAGATCCAGCATTTCGGCCATCCTCTTGGATTTTCCCAAATTATCAAGCAAGTAATTGCAGGCAAAAATATCAGGAAAAAAGCCAGTCCTTTTCATTTCCTCAAAAATTTCTCGAACAGTTTCGGTGAGGTTGGATTCGGCAAGGCCGCAAATTAGATCATTATATGCGTAATTGGTTGGTTTAATACCATAGCTCTTGAATTTCTTAAAGAGATTCAGTGCAGGAAGAGCATTCTTATGCTTGCAAAGATATTTAATCAGAGAGCATAATAAGTAATCATTAGTGAATGTTTCATTAGCAGCAAGTCTTTCAGCAAAGGCAACTGATTTATCAAATCCAGCTTCAATCAACACCCCTTCCATAAGAGCTTCCCAAGGTCCCCTGCCCATTTCTACATCTAACTGAAATATGTATTTATCAACAAGATACAGTGCTTCATCAACAAATCCATTTCTCAAAAGACCAGGAAGGATAGTACACAGAGTAGCAAAATCAGGAAATAAAACTTTCCTCATTTGATGGAAGAACCATAATGCTTCTTTTATTCTATCCTCTTTGATTAGACCATGTATAACAGTGTTATAAGATAGAAGGTCAGGTGTGCAATTTTTTTCCATCATTCCATAAAGCATATTAATTGCCATATCAACCGCCCCATTCTTGCAAAGACAATCTAATAATGTATTGTATGTTATGGTATTTGGAGAACAACCATGTGAATTCATCTCCTGAAACAGCTGCATCATCTCTTTAACCTTTTTTTCCTTTCCTAAGCCTGCCAATAATGTGTTGAAAGTAACAACAGTTGGTTCTAGTTTCATTGTCTTCATTCTGAGGAACATCTGCCAAGCTTCTTCCTCTCTACCTGCCTTGTAGAGCACATCAATGAGCGAATTCACTGTAATTTCATCTGGATCGCATCGATTTTTGGTCATTTCGACGAACATTTTTATAGCTTCATTGGCTTTCCCAGACTTGTTGTAGCATTTTATCATCATGCTATAAGTGATAGCATCTGGAGATAAGCCAATGACTTGTAATTCTTGAAATAATTCTTCCGCCTTCGCTAAATTCGAGGATTCAGCTAGACCGTACAAACAAGAATTAAAAGCTACAATGTTGGGCACAATTCCCTCACTTTTCATCATCTCATATGTTTTAAAAGCTTGCTCAAAGTCTCTAGCTTTTCCATGGTAGTCAATGAAAAGGACATACGAAAAAGATGTAGGTTTTAGACCATTAAGTTCCATACAATGTAGGAGCTCTTTAGCTTCGTCTAATCTATTGTCCCTTAAGAGCCCCCCAATCAATGCATGATAAGTGTGCGAGTTCGGCGATACGCCTTTTTCCTCCATTACTCGAAGCATCTCATAGGCTTGTCCAATCTTTCCATGTTTGCAGAAAGTATCCACTAGTATGGTGAAAACAACCACATCAGCTATATAACCATCAGCTTCCATTTCCATCCAAAACTTAAGCACCAATTGTAAATCACCGGCATCACCAAACTTGTCCAACAACGTAATATAAGTTACTCTATCAGGTTTCTGCTCGCTTGATTTCATCTTCCAGAACAGGTCCAGGGCTTGCTTGAGTTTCCCAGCTTCACAAAGAACATCAATAAGCACAGTATAAGTGACAACATCCGGTTTACACCCATCATCTTCCATCCTCCTCAAAAGACTATAAACTTCATCAAATTTTCCTGCTTTTCCAAGAACATTGATGCATATTGTAAAGGTGTACAGATTTGGTTTCAATCCTAAGCTTTCCATCTCGTTTAAAAGCTCCATAACAAATTCATTTTTCCTTCTCTTACCAGAAGCCACCATTAGAGCAGAATATGTTTTGAGGCTAGGAACAACCCCTTCTGAGATCATCGTCTTGTAAACTTCAACCGCCTCTTGATGCAAACCCAACTCAAGGAGGAAATATATCAAACCATTAACGGAAAATGCATTCAAGACAAAACCTGCTGCTTTCATCTTCTTGAGTGCAAAAGGGGCGCTCCTGAGTCCTCCTTTAACATTTAGGGCCTTGAAAATGCTCAGGAATGTGTTAGGGTTTCTCTTAACAATTCGCTTCTGCATCAAATCGAACACAATGGCCATCTCTTCTACTCTACCATGGCTTCTCAACAACTCAAGCATGTAATTGAAGGAATCGGTTGTGTGAATAATATTGGGCTGTTCTGCAGCTGATTTGAAGAGATGAAAGGCTTGAATCGGGTCTGAAATAGGCTTCAGGATGCTTAAAATGTTATCCGAAGTGATCCCATTTCTCCATAGCTCCTTCAAATCGACACCGCAACCAATCATCCCGTCGGTTCGAGTACTATCCACAAGGTTTCTTCTAATTTTCTTACGATTCAAGAAAAATAAACCTGGAAAAACTTTAGAACTCCCAACTTTTGTCCCTCCAACTGAAGCCAGATCACCAAAAACCTTACCTTTCGCCTTGCTTTCAGAACTCTTCGATCCAAAGCTACAAATTCCCGAAGGGCTGAGCTCTATAATGCTCAAACCCATTGAAAAAACGAAAGAGGCTACGATATTGTGTGTGATTCACATCACTGCATGGTGAATTCCATAGAAAATAGCCGAACTAGGAAGAGTTGAATGGTTTTGTCATCTGCTTTACCTGTTATTTCATCAGATGAGGGAGAAGAGGAAGAGATAACCATGGCTTTTTCTCCCGCAATTTCTCTGATAAGGATATTTTCAAATGTCTGGCACTGAATCGGGGAATTTCTAGCGTGGCAACAGGCAACTAACTAATAGAATCAGCGAAAAGTTTAGCCTGATCTGTAGGAAAAAATATATGCTGCTTCGACATGATATATGGCCATTTGTAAAGGGCTAAACTCGTTGGAAAAAAAAAAAGTGAAAAAATGTGTATTTTCGTTACAGACCAGGTCCGAAGCAGCCAACCTAAAACGCCTCTTCAATCTCCATTTTCTTCTATTGCCACAGGATAGGATTTCGCGGAGCCGTTTTCACCGATGCTTTTGATAGCTATGTTGTATATTGGTTACAATTTAGTGTTATTAAGGTGACAATTTGTCTGTGTTGTAGTGATATTGTGATATTGAAGTGGTGTTATTATGGACTTTGTGGTGTCAGTCTATTTGTTGAGTTTGTGTTATTATAGTTATATCTATGATTTATCCTGGTTTTAGTTAGGTGTTATTAGGGTGCTAATTTGGTTGTACTGTGGTGATATTGTGGTATTGAAGTGGTGTTATTATGAACATATTTTATTGTTTTTCTGTGTTTTTATTATGGTATCAGTCTGCAATTTGTGTTTATGTTATTCTATTATTACATTCATGTTTAGATACTGAAGTGGTGTTATTATGGGCATATTTGGCGTTAACAAATTGTCTATTTTGTATTGTTTTCTTTTGTAGGTTTTTGAATCCAAGGATGTTCAACTATAGGCGTGGACCATCTATGGTAAGATCTATTCTTGATTTGGTCAAACATACCCTATCTAAGGAAACTATAAACACCCTGAAAGACTTAAATTTATTTCAATTTCAATTTGTCTCCATATCCGCAAGATAATGTCTTAACACTGCACATCCTAAATTGTTGGGATGTTGAACAAATGTTAGTCAAGATGGGTGAGAAGGAATTAAGTACAAACTCCAACCAATTGCCTTATTGATAAGCATGCCCAAAAGAGGAGAACCAGTCCATAGGGATAAAACTCTCTCATGTGGTGTATCTGCGATATAAATAACAAATGACGTAGTTAAGGTTTCATCTGGAGAGTATTCAATGCCCTTTGATGAACTATTTATAAAGTTTTTGTTAACAAATTTATTATTTATTTCGAGCAACTTTGGTGTACCTTAAGGGCTTTACACTTTTGCTTAGAATGTACACCATTTTTTTTCATTTAATTGACTTGCTATTGTTTGTGAGTTCTTATTGACCAAGTGAATGTCATCGTCACAAAATTAAGGTGGAATCATTCATTGGGTATTTTAATGGATTTGTTTTTCCTGCTCAAGGTTAGTATGATGTTTATACCATGTAAAATTCCTTTTTTTAAGTCAAAGCAGGTTATGATTTAACTTTTACACAGCTCTGATTTTATAAGTGTACATCTCAAGTGCTTCTTCTGCACCCGACTCCAAGCCTCACATATTGAGGTGGCCAACATATGTGAGCTGGAGCTCATTCTAGATACATCAAACTCTTAAGGAGCTTAACCCCGAGCGTGTATTTCTCTCATATGATATATTTTTTTTCTTTTTGGATAATTTAGTTCATGTCTGATTGTAATTATGGATTATTGTAGGTTTATCATTATTTTTTAGATTTGAAAGACGAAGAACGTATCATGCTCACTCCTTCAATTAATGAGCAACCCAGTCCAATTAAAACACCCCGTTCCATCAAACATGAAACTAATTCCACAGCACAATCACGAATTTCATTTGGTGCAAACCCTTTCATTGCACATGACAACACCCCACAACCAAAGTGTACAATTGTCAATATAGGTTTTGAATAAATTATTTAATTATTAAGAGCTCAAGAGAAAAGTTTTTCTGAATTTTAAGAATTAAATAACAACAGAGTATCTGATTTACATAATAAAGTAATAGAGCTTCATAGTGAAGTTAGTAAATTAGAAAATATAATAATGATATTGGAGGTAAACAAAACAAAGTAAGAAACATATCAATCCTACATTGGCAGTATAATTCGAAGGGCTAAGGCCCGACAAAGCAGGTGGAAAAGAAAATTGAGTTTCCCTTACGTTGCATTTGAGTTGAAGAGGAGAAAACCAAATCCGCAGATGTTCAACCGGATGTTCAAATGTTAACTGACGATGATACTCCAACATTTAGGGATGAGAGGTTTCTTGCAGATATTGAACATTAGAGCATCATGGAATAAAAGATTTTGTGGAATTCCAGAAGTCTGAGCGCATTACAATCACTGATGATGAGGGAGATGTCCAAGAAAACAGAAAAGTTATTGTTTATGTAGATGATTATGTGGCAAATGTATTTTATGAAAAAATAACTATTGGAAATGTGTATCATAACATTTAAGTTGACATTAAAGATGATTATTTTTTGGTTATGTAGCCTCGTCTGATTGATATAGTTGTGGATTTTTCTGGGATAATAGATATCCCATTTAAAATGCAACAACTAATTGATCAGTGATGTAGGAGACACCGTGATTAGTCACTATATGTTCACATTTTTCAATTATTTCAAAAATACTCTTATGTTTAATTTTAATGTAAGCTGTGTTGATGTTGTAGGGATGATGTTATGATTCATGATGGAAACGTAGTAATTAGCCATTCTAGAATTGATGATATTCTGACAAACAACTGGTTTGCAAACAAACATGTCGATACTTTTGCACTTTTAATAGATAAAAAGAAGATTAAATCACCAACATTGTACAAGTTGTTCCTATATGTATCACCACTACATTAGGTAATTATTTAAGACAATGTTCGTAGAAAGACAACCCGTTGATGCTTTTGCACTTCCTCTGTGATAACATTTGTCTCATTTTATGTAACTATATAAAGAGAAAGACAACTTAGCATCACAATAATACTACAATAACTCCACAGTTATATCATAATGATACCACAAAAATACCACAATAGCACCACAATAACGCAATAATAACACCGTAAAACTACCAACCACAATACCAACAAAAATATATGACAATAAACCAAAAAACACCTTAATACAACCAAAAAATCATCACAATGCCTCCACAATATTATCGTCTAAACACCACAAAATCAACACAATAATACAAACACAATACCACCATAATCCCACCTTAATATCACCATAATAACACCACAATAACGCTGCAATACAACCACAACATCGCCACAATACAATCACAATATCACTCCAATAACACTATAATCCCACCACAAAAATACCACAAAACAACCATAATATGAACAAAAATAAAACCTCAATCTCACCTCAATACAACCACAATATCACTCCAATAACACCACTGACTATTTCAATACTATCAAAATAACAAAGTCACCTTAATACTATCACAAAATCATCATAATAACTCCACAATCTCATTACAAAATCACCACAATATGAACAAAACACAACATCAATACAACCACAATATCACTCTAATAACACAAAAAACTGTCACAATATCATCCAAATAATAGGACAATGCTACCACAATACTACCAAAATAAGATCACAATATCACCTCAAAATTACCACAATACAAAAAAAATAACAATAATAGAAAATACCACCAAAACAATATCACAATCAGAATAATTCTACAATAACACCACAAAATCATCATAAAATACCAGAAAACAAATATAATACCATTGATTTAGGTTATAAAGGAAATCAAGCATAAATTAATGTCAATATTTGAAACACAACTAAAATCACCTCAATTTCAAACTTGTTGTCATTATTTTCATATTTCATCCTTTATATTTATCACTTGACGTGTTGTTCACAAATAACATAGGATTATCGTCTTAACCATAGCCATAGAACTGCGAGAAAACCTTCCAGCCAAAAGCAAACCCTAGCTCTTTGATAGAGAATGAAACAGTGCGCCAAATTTTGAACAAAGAGAGATTTTAAATTGTGCACCATATTATCGGGCTCGTACTAGAAATACACCTTTTTCATTTTTTTTTAATGGTCCAGTTACAGTGGGATAGAGCTCTCTCATGTGACGTAAATTGGATCTAAAGATGTGAATCTCAAACTGATACATGTTCAAATATATTCTATAAATAATTTCAAAGTTAATAACAAAATCTGGCATGTTCCATTCGAAAAATAGCATTAAAAATTTAAATTATAAAGTATGAGATGTATGACATTTCAAAATTTACAGTTAGAGTTTCAAATTTGTTTTATGATTTTAGGATTTAGTGTTCATTATTTTCTCCCCGTCAATAAACATTCCTTTGTTCTCTCGAGATTAGGTTTTTTCTTTTTCTCCCCATCCCAAGACCTTTATTTACAATTTCATAGCCAGGCCCACCCACTAAGACTTCGTTTAGATTGGTGTCTCCACTACCTTTGCATTGAACGCGAAGATGATATTATGCGAGGTATCGTTCGGTGATTGATTATTTCTCGAGCATCCGCCAATGCAGCTTTGTAAAAACGACACTTTTCTGTCGTTTTAAAACGTGAATGTAGAGCTTCATCCACCAATGTCATGTTTAAAGGAGCTTCGATAAACGGCGAAGCTCCCTCAAACGAGGCCTAAATGGATAGGGCAGGCCCACGGGCAGCCAACGAGCCTTAGAAGAAAAGTGATTTTTTATATGTTACATACTATGATTTGGATAATTTGACGAGAAATTGAAAAATAGATGCAAGTAGGTGCTAGTTTTGTATATATCAATGTATATATGTAATTGTTTCTACTTTATGTTGATTGGAAAAGATGGAGAACTCCCATGATGTGTGTAAATACATAAGCACGTACGCTTTCCAAAGAACACCCAAAAACTTTAAACTTATTAATTTAAACCCTAATATCACAAGAGGATTAAGGTAAGACTACTTTTTGAAGAAAACTATGTGTTTTAATATGTTGCATGTATTTTTCAAATTACTGCCACTGTATTAAAAAGTGACTTAAGAAAAAAAGAATTAATTGCCTTGAAAGTTTGCAATCACGAATTATACCTAAAAGACTTGGTCATTAGTGAGTCAGACCTATTCGAGCTTTGACAAATTCAAAGCGCTCTCAATCCGGACCAAGCTCACTAAATTTATATTATTTCATAACCAAGCCCGCCCATTCTAAGCAGGCTCATGGCAAGCCCGTCGATCCACCTGCCCAATGCCCAAGTCTCATACATTTATTAAATAAGCTTTGTACTATCATTATTATTGAAGCAACACACTTTCAAATGAACCTTGTTAGAGCTATGTCATTGAAATAATCTATGTCGAGTGTGAGATAATACAAATTCCATAGTTTTTTTCATTGCTTGATCTTTATCGATGAATATTGTTGAAGGTTGCTTGTTATTCAATGTGCAAATAAATGTTATAAATAACTAAGTGAATAACTTAATTATTTCTTCAGATAAAAAAACCACTCCAAATAAAATATTTTGCCCATGATAATTAACTTTAACAAAAAGAACACAAACTAAATCATACTCATTAAGTTGATAACTTATATAAAAACTATGAAATTCTTAAAGTAGTCATAGTCAACCATTCTCATGCCATCACTCTAAAAAAAATTAGTTTATTTGACTTATCAAATCAGACAACCTATGCAAACATATTATTTTCAACTTGTCTTGCCTTAAATATTTATATTAAAATATTTTTACCCACATTTGTAATTCTTGCACTTTTCTCCTTCTAGATTTAATTAAATACATATCTTTTTAAGAATCTCACATATTGTAATCCTCATACTTTCTCAACAAGATATCTGAATGCATTGATCTTTTTAATTCTTATTCATGTCTTTGACTCCAACACAAACTGTTTTGTCTTCACTAATGCTTCAATGTGATTTCAACAAATCTTGATCAACTGGCTTGACCAATGAATGATCATGATTTTTTTATAAATTTATTAACAATCTAATTATCTGTATGATCAACAAGAAATCTAACTATTGCATGACAACCAATCCTAGTGTTTGATTTTTGGAACTTCTTCACCATATTTTGATTGAGTCATTAACTAAAACCAACATTTGAGCAAAAAAACTCTTTTGATTTTATGGTCCTTGCATTGTCCAGTAATTGATATGATTCTTTCGAACACTTAATCCATATGAATAAGCATAACTGCAGGTCAAATCATATGCCTTTTTTTCATTGTGAAAGACAGTGTCAAAGAGTTTTGTTGCAATTGAATCAAACTTCTTAGGAATTACATCATTGCAAGTCCTGATATTAGGACTTAAACATTACGAGTTTGTTGTCCTTTAAAAAATTAGATGCAGAGTTACAACCAATATAACATCGTTGTGCTGGATAAAAATTTGAATACTGAATAAAGTAGCACATTCCTAAATAAAATAATCATAAAACACTTAAAATAAAGCTTAACAATTGTTATGTACGAAGATGTTAAAAAAATAATCAAGAGGTTTTATTATATAATCAATGAGTAAACTAATGGTGTACAAACATGCCAAATTCAAGAAATGCAGCAATAAAACCAATATAAATTAATTGTACACTACGAAAATATTGTATGCGACATATAATAAAGCACTCTAAATTTAAAAACCAAGCTTCTAGAGTAGGCTTCATCAGCTCTAATAAATTGGTTGTGTAAAAACATGAATTTACTCCTGCATTTCTCGAGCTCAAACTCAAAAAAATAAAGGAATACAACAGATACAACATTAATGTACTAAATAATATATTGAATACTACAAGAAATTATTAAAAAAAACATTCAATAAGCTTTACTAAATAATAACTGAGTAAATTAATGGTGTGCAATTATGTCAAACTCAATAATTGACATAGTACAACCATTACAACTTAGTTGTACTCTAAAAAATATGGTCTGTGATATGCAGCAATACAATATAATTTGAAAATTCAAGAATGTTAAAGCAGGCTTCATCTGCTTTATCAAATTGATTGTGTAAACACATGAACTTTTGTATTTCTTAAGCAAAAACTAAAAACATAAGATGAAAACAACCAATACAACATGATTGTACTCATAAAATGTTGTATACTACATGCAATAAAACACTACAAATTCAAAGTCTAAGTTTCCTAAAGCTGACTCCACGCATTCTAACTAATTAAGTGTGTTAAAATATGTTTTTATTCGGTCATTTTGTCAGCATAAATTCTAGAAATGTATTATAATCAGAACAAAATTGCTTACTCCATGAAAAAATTAAATATTTCATGCAATGAGCCACTTCAAATAAAAAACCAACACTTCTTAATGTATAGTTCATAAAAGTTATTTAGTGCATACTCTTTCAAATTAAGTATATTAACAAAATTGTGTTTGAAACATACCCATTAGTTTAAGTCTATAACACAATTACAAGAGGGAGAAGCGGAGATTGACATCCGAGTTGATCGGTTTAACACCCTGCTTATTCTCAATCATCTTGGTTAATACCACAAGCAAATCTTAATTCTAAACAATTCTTGTTAGGCATTCTCATTACTTTTAAATTTGTATATACATTATATTTGAACACTCTACATTCAATATTGTCTCTTCTATTTGGGCAGGTGGGTTGTGCCATTCTATGATATCTAAAACCCTAATTTCGGAAAAATATTTGTGTACGTAAGACGCAGCGCTGCGTACGTCCAGGGGTTATTCAGGAGGTACAGTGGAATTATATCGAGGTTATACCCCGCTGCAACCCCACTGTAATCTCTTTATAAACTAACTATAACCTATAAATGAGTTTCAAGCTTCTGTAATTTTATGAGTATAAATAAATTATATAGAAATTATAAGAGAATTACATTACAGGGATATGAATTTCCTTTAAAGCCAAATATTTTCCCGAATTTCGGCTAGAAGTCGGAAAGAAGCGAAAATCATCAGGCTTCTTTTTGTGTTTCGAAGCCTAGTTAGTGGTATGGGTGGCCAGAGATCGGAAATCGGAGACGGAGTGCTTCCAGTTAAAGTTCTTGATTCTCTCAGAGAAACCCTTGGCTGCGTCGATGAGTTGAAGGGGAATCTCGAGCGCTTTCTGCTCTTGGCTGAGCCTGACGTGCTCGCGGAGCTGACGCCTCTCCAGCGAGCGCGAGCTTTCCTTGTTATGGCAATTTCGGCTTCGGCTCTCTTTTCAGGCAATATAAATGCGAAAAAGCTTTTCTTTTTCTTTGTTGTTTATCAATTCATCTACTTTTCACCACTAACATTGATTTGTGCTTGTTTTGCTGTTCGGGTTGACAAAATCGGTCAGCTAGATTGAGGTGTAGTGGAATTTGCTCGGATGAACACCCTATCAGAACTGAGCTTGTGAGTTTTGCTTCCCTCTTTTGTTTGACTTTTGCTTTGATTTTTGGGGGCTATTTGATTCAATGTGATGTAAACTTATTAAGATAACTATCCTTTCTGCCAATCAACATACATGGAGCTTCTAAAATATTTCTTCTCTCAAGCTCTGGATTTGTCAAATTACAAGAAGTTGGGGTTTATCAGGTTTACAGTTGGGATTTATATGAGATTTACAATTGCCCGCACGTTTAATTAAGCAACTAAATAATTGGTTGGAGTTTCGAATTAGACTTCTTAAGCTTTAGAGTCCATTTGGGATGGTTGTAGTGTTTTTTTAAAGGTGATTGTGAAGCTTTTCTGAGAAAAGAATCTTTTTTTAAAGGTATGGTACGTAACGCAAATATTTAATTTTTGGAAAAATAAGATGGCAGCTTCCTTACAACAACCACACATTAAAAGATCTGGTCCGGTCATAAAACATCTAAAAAACAACAAGAAAGCAGTAGTTGCAACAGTAGCTAAGGTTTGAAAAGCAACACAATGAGAAAGCTTTCTCATTGAATGCCGCTTAAATACTATTTATCAAATCTGAATTTGCTGAATCTTATCTGGAACCAAACATGCATGTAATGTTATCTAGAAAGGCTAGTTGTAACTATCATCTTTATTATTTCTTTTTATTGTCAGATCTAATTTTGTCCATATAAAGATGCTAACACCCTATTAGAAATATGAACAAAGCTCAAAGAGTTGAAGGAATGGAAGAGAGAGAGAGAGAGAGAGAGAGAGAGAGAATCTTAATAATTTTCTTACTAAATTGATCCACAAAAGACCTGACCGAACTCATTTAATAGGGTATTGGGAGTTGAAGCAGGTTACAAAGAAAATTCAGGGGAAAAAGAGATATTCCAAGGGAAACCCTAGAGAGATTATGTGAGAAACTTTTGTGTTAGAGTTTCGGCTCATAGTTCAAGATTTCATGTGTTTGTACTAATTTAATGACCTATTTATAGGCAAGGATGAGTGGCAATGTTATAAAATTGGCTACATAATGTGATTACACAAAAAGTGTATAAATTGAACTTGGTGTGGCTACATCTGTATTGAATTGGTTTGGCTGGCATTTGATTGTTTTCTGGGACGTGAGTTATAGATTATGATTACTAGTCAATTTTTTTCCCGGGATTTAGGATGAGTTTTTTTATTCAGGGCGAGTAACTTCTAGTGAGAATCTCTAGTAAGCTGACAATTACTCTTGGTACATAGTCAAATTATTTAGGTGAATAACCTTAGTGAAATAAACAATTTTGTTAGCCATTCGAGTGAATTCAACAGCTAATATTAAGGTTCGGTAAGGGCTAATTCTTGGGTGGCTTCATGGGAATCAATCATGGGCAACTTGAGGCTTTAGATGACACAAACTTCTAGTTGTAGGAGGTTCTAGCCAATTTTAAATCATCAATTTGTTAAACCCAGTTCAAGCTCTCATAATTAATAGCAGCAACAACTTTTCAAGTACCCAAACCAATAAAGAGGGCTTCCACCCTCAAATAACAGAATTAAAATACCATGAATGTCAGAGTTGTTAGCTGCTAGCTAACTAGATTCCTTTTCCAGAAAGACAATTTTAAATCATAACTTGGTGAACCAGTTCAAGCTCTTATTATTAGCAACAACTAGCCTTGAAGTACACAAATTTATAAAGAGGGCCTCAACCTTCAAATAATAGCATTGGAACAACCTGATTGTCACAGTTCGCTGCTTACTAACTAGATTCCTTTTCCAGAATATTCTACTGTCTATATATACCTATAATTTGTACTGCTGTATAGATGGATAATATTTCGTTTCTCTGTTGATACATCAGATTGAATCATTTATCTTTCTGCTATCATAGCTCTGTTTTTCTGAGCTTCCTATTCTTCATGGTATCAGACCAGGTTCCAAGATATTGCATTCTATTTTCTCGGTAATGCCTTTACTGCCTCATTTCATTCTACTCACATTAGTATTCCAATGGAAGATTCGTTGACCTATAGATCTCCTTCTTCCCCTCCACCTGTACCTAACATAACTATCCTATCACCCTCTAATTTTTTTCTCATATCAAACAACTTGCCCAAAATCAACTAATTACAGACAACAATCCTATTTGTCGAACCCAAATTCTCAAGATTTTTGCGGTGAATGAATTTTCTGGCTTCCTTGATGTAAATACATCATGTCCTAAAAAATTTCTCACTGAAAACAGTGGCTGATAATCCTATCTTCCACGTCAGGACAAAGCATATTGAGATTGATTATCAATTGATAATAGATAACATCAATTCTAAACAAATTCACATCCATTACATCAACTATCAAGATCAACCGGCAAATATTCTCACCGAAACCAGATTCACTCGGCTTCACACCAAGCTCATATGTGATCCGAGATCTATCAGCTTGCAGGGGGTGGCTATCAGAGCAGTTAGTTGCTAACTAACTAAATGGAGTTTTTTTCCAGAATATTCTACCATGTCTATATATACATATATTTTGTATCTCATATAGATAGATAACATTTCATCTCTCTGTTAATATATTGATTGAGTCATATATCTTTCTGTTATCATACCGAGTCTCTTCTGAACTTCCTATTCTTCAGTAATAACTAAATTAACCTGGCTGTGATGAATATGAATGTGAATATTCATTAGTTTTTCTATTATCTTGTCCCTTCTAAGATGCTGAGAAGGACGAGAATAGAAATTTTGAAAAAATCCAATTAGACCTAAGTGATTTGGATTACATCTGAAGTGTTAGCTCTATGAATGTGTAGAAGTTCAACATGTCGTTGACGCATGAACATGAATATCTATAAATATGAGGTTTGTGGTTTACCTTTAAAATATTTTTGATTGGGCGTCAGTCATCATTTTCTTGTTCTGTATCTACATTAAACTTCCTACTTTCCAAAGATAATGAAGTTGATTGCTTTATGAAATTTTTCATGTTGCTAATGAATAGGTGAAATTACAAGGATATTACTAGGGCTGCCAAAAAAGCTCATTGTTCGCGAACAGTAGTTCGTGTTCGGTTCGTCAATGAGTTTGCGTTTGATTCGTTCGATAAGTAAACGAGACAAATGTGAACAAATTTTTTTCGTTTGGTTAGTTAAACGAACCAAACACGAACAGTGATGCGTTCGTTTGTGTTCGAATTGTTATTGTTCGAAATATAAAATAATTTAAAATAATCTATATAAAAAATTTATGATATTTTAAAAAATTAAATTTTATAAATTATAATATGTAATAAATTAATAATAATAGTATATTAATATAGTATATTAGTAATATACTAATATAGATATTATATATTTATATAATATAAGTTATATAATTAATATAATATATTATTTATATATAATAATATTAGGAATGTCAAACTAGCTCGTCGTTCTCGAACAGCTCGTATTTGACTCGTTCGTTAAGAAAAGAACACGAACAGTGACTTCATGAATAATTTCGAACACGAGTCTATTTCAAACGAACTGAACACGAACACAAGCTCTATTTGTTCTTGCTTGGTTCGTTTACACCCCTAGATATTACCAAGTAATGGGTTTTTCTTTCCGCTGAGAGGTTCATATCAACAAAGATGTTTCCATTGAAGAATGCGAATATCAAACATGATAAAAAATATCACGGGGAACTAGTTCTTAAAGAAAGAGTCCTTGTGATGGAACCTCTGTTACTACTGAAGTTGTTGCTATGAAAACCTCCAGTGGTAAGGAGATTGTTATTGAGGGAGTTGGTGTTCTAGTGACAGAGGTTAGAGTTGTAACTCCTCCAAGTAAGATATTGTGGAGAGTTTAACACTCCAAAATTCTCTTTTGAAGTGGAGATAAACAAGTTCTTTGACTTTTGAGTTGATTTCATGCTCTTCAAATACGTGGGTCAAAAGGCAGGAGTGAGTTCCTTGAAATCGTTCGAGAAGTGAAAGGAATGATGATTCTAAAAAAGGCTAGTGTTGATGCCAATGCTTAGCAAGAGCTGAATCCCAAAATTGATGAACATTTTGCATCTTACCACACAAGAATCTTAACCTTCTATGAATTAGATATGAGATTCTAATGTGAATATCTTCACAATCACTTGATGCGGGACATGATTGATGATCACTAAGAGCAGATTCTAAGAACTGCTTTATAGATCAAACCTATGAAGGAGGTGAAAAGAAATATGAAAGTTGGAATTGAGGTTGAGAAGGCAAGATTGGCTTAAGAAATGAAGGCTTCTGCATATAAAACTGCTAGATTTGAAGTCTCCAACCATGTTGACAAAGAACATTTCAGTGTAATGGATGCCAAGGTGAGTTGGCATGCTTGTGGCCATGCTCAGTTGCCTTAGATTCTCCTAAAAATTTAGTTGAGTGTTTGATGAGCTGGGAGGAAAAGTTGGCGTAATGAGTAAGTTTTCAAAAAGTAAAAAATGATTTAATTTCCTGTGGGGCGGGACGCTAATTCCATGATGCACCAACTAATCCAAGGTGGTGATCTTCCTTGTGAAGTTGCAATTGACCTATAATTCATCTGTATTGAGTAGAGCTTTAATATATTTGCATGATGAGTTCAAGAACTCTTTTTGTTCTGCAGGTCGTCCTTCGGAAAGGTTTTTTTTTTTTTTTTTCTCTTCTTGGGATTTTTTTTTTTTTTTTTTTTTTTTTTTTTTTACTTTTTCTTTTGTTTTAGAGTTTTAGAAATTGCTTGCGATTATGAGCTAAGTTTAGATTTTACTTCTCATTTTTTTTGTATGTAGCTTGCCTTGTACTTGTGAAGTTGAGCTTCACGATGTAGTCAACCATAGGAAGAAATCAGCCACTCAAAGTTGGTACTCCATTTTGAAGTCTTAGCTTTATTAAGAAGTTAGAAATCATACTTTTGTTCTAAATATTCTTGGAATTAAGTTGGAGCTTCAATTATAAAGTTTGATTTTACCAAGGAAATCATGTTTTGAAGGTGGCCTTTGCTATGAAGTTATACTTTGATTACAATGTTGGCTTTTGACCAAGTCAAAGGACATTGCACTTTCTTTAAGCTAATGATGAGAAATCGACACTTCAATGCATTGTTAATTGTGAGGAGGGAGATATTCAACTTTTTGTTAATGAAATGGTCTGCCAAATTGTGCTTTTATTTATAAGAGTCTAGGACCAGCGTTTTGAACTTTGGCTGTTGCTAAGCTTATATGATTTGAACTAAGAAAGCACTCGTAGGTTGAGCCTAATGTTTTACTGGTTCACAAGGGAGAGAAGATGTATCTACCATATTTTTTATAGGGAGATAGGGATTACAATCTAAAAGAGCTAGAGTATCAACTCTTCGGTTGAAGCAATGTTGATGCCTAAGAGATGCAACAAAATTTGCAGCTTGGAGAGGAGTAAGCAAGAGTTGTGGCTTATGAGAGGTGCTTAAATATCTCTTGTATAGCCCTTCTAAGATAATCCTCCATGCTGTACAACTATTAACTGTGTTTTGGCTCAAAGTTCAGGATTGCGCGTGCTTGCACCGAACTAGCGACCCTGTCTTCATATGCTACATCAATGTCTATTATATCGTCCACACCATGATTACACAAAATGCAAATAAATTGAATTCGATGACTTCCCCTAAAATAAATGTACAATTATTTTGTTTAGTTGTTAGTATCCAAACATTTAGATGTTGGTCAAATCTGTAGATTTGGAGGTTATCGTTACTGGATTTGATTAATCTATTACCTTCGCATGTCATTGAACGAAATCTCTGATATCTGCTAATAACTTGATATTACTTAGCAGATATTAAGCAACTAAAACAAAACAAATATATCTTTTGTTGTGGTGTGGAAGATTGACCATATCATTTGTGGCAGGAGAGGTTGAGTTTACATGAAGATAAGTTGAGCAAGTATAACGACTGGAACAAAGGTTTTCATTGTGACATGTTCTTACATTTCATTCTTCTTTTCGGGTGATTTCTATTTTAATTTTTTATTTCATCTGAATTTTGTAGCTGTTATTCTCTTCTTCATTTTTCTTACCCAGCCCCATTGCGGCCATCACTGAAGCTAAATCCTCAAGCAGCTACCAGATTCATTGAGCATTCTTTACCTGATTTGGCACCAGGTCTGGGATTGCTTTCATTAACAATAAAAAGACATTTACATCCATATCGCACAATTCTTCTGTATTTATATATCTATCATCTAAAATTTCATATTTGCATACAAAACACTAAAATCTGTAGGGGCATTTATATACATACCAACCGAATTCTTATGTATTTACATATATAACATCTAAATTTTGCTTTTTTATATCCATACCACCTGAATCTTTTCATGTTGTATCTAAAATTTCACTATTTTAACATTTTAAAGCTGAAATACACATTTTCATGCACACGTAAGGTGTTAAATATGTAAATACATAAGAATTGAGTTGTGTGTATGTAAATCATCCAAATCTTTAATATATATATGATATTGCTGTGAAATTCATAGTTTCATTAAACATTTTCAGACCAGAGGAAGAGTCTCCATAATATTAGTACAGGCAAGGGTGACCGAACTCCTTTCATGACAAACAGAGCGAAGAAGAAAACGAAATACCAATCTTTTGAGCGGCAGTCTGCGCGTGCTGCTGCGCAGGAGTTTCTTGAGAAGGCAGCAAGGGAGCTCTTTGGCTCAAACGATTCCAGCGTGAAGGGTCCGTTGCAGAACCTTGAATCAGATGATGAAGACGATGAATAAATGCTTTGTTTTTTTCTATCTATTTATTTGCTTACTTTAGATAAATTTTGCTTTTTTCTATATATTTGTGTCTAAACACCAAATTTTTTTTTTTTACATTTAAATCAGCCGAATTTTTCAATTCACATTAGAAATATCATTAGTTAAATATTTAAAATATAAAATATATCTTTGCATGCATAAATAAGATGCATATATATGTAAAAATGTAAATTTAAATGTTAGACATCAACTAATCTAGTTAGTAAAAAGCTTTGGAATTTGTTACCAAGATCTCGGGTTTAATTCTTATTTATATAATAGGAAAGTTTTATCATACAGTCTTTAGAGAGGGCTAAAAAACAAATAAACAAACAAAAATCAATAAAGAGGTAAAGCAAGGTGATGCTTGATGCTAGGGTTGATTCGAACTCAAGGAAGATGATATCACTATAGAAATTAAAATAAAAACTATAATAATAACATTAGAGTGGACATAAGAAAGGGGGCTAAGAGGATTCCTCACCCAGGCCCAATGCCACTTTTCCAAAACAGCTAGTTATCCTCCTCATGGCATCCAACCTCCGCTTGTTTTGTTGCATACAGAGAGATCTGAAACTCCCCTTTTTCTTCTCCTACTGTGCTGCTCCTACCTGAAACCAGGGAGGCAGAAGAGGGAAGTTAATGACGAGGTAACGTCGTACAGACAACATTGAAACTCACCTCTTTCTCTACCTTTTGCTCCTCTCACCGGAGCACCGGTAGCCGGCAAGGTCACGACGTACAGACAATATTGAAACTCACCTCTTTCTCTGCCTTCCACTCCTCTCACTGGAGCACCAGTCACCAGCGAGGTAGTGGAGAGGACGCCAACAACTTGGAGCTAGTGGCAAGGATGTTTGTAACCAACGCGACGGTATAACCTCTAAAGCTTTTGCATTTTCATTTCTATTTCGCCTTAGGTTAGCTTAGAGTAGGTGTGTTGGGTCCGGTCAACCACTCGGGATGAGGGTGTCAACTAACATTAGTCGGCGCGGTAACACTCCCTTGGATTGGTCATTGATTTTTAAGAGGAAGCTTTAGGTTAGAATTCCCGTGTGTGGTCAAATCCTACACGGAGACGAGTAGTTCCCCTCTGTGAACCTTAGACCTAAATCCTAGCGGGTTGGAGTCCTGATCTCCTCTTGTTTTGGTTTTTCCCAACCTTCCGTGGAGTGGTTGAGATGTTTGGATTTCACAAAGTGAGAAAAGCTTTATAGCTAACTCAATTTGCAAAATCATGAGGGCTTGTGAAATCAGAAAAGCTTTGTAGCTAGCATATTTCATAACATCGTGAAGAGTTTCCATTCTAGAGGCACGGAGGTGAAACTCCACGCACACCTTGGCAAAACAAGAGGCGGCTAAGTTGCGCATCCAAGTGCTAAACCCTATGTGTCTTATGTGAGATCGTTAGCAAGAGTATGACTAGTTATCGAGCATGATCATCTGCTTTAAATTGTGACATGTGTGCCTTACTTGAAGCATCTTGCATTTGCACGTTGTCTCGATCTGCCGCCCTGACCTGGTCGAGATCTCTTTCACATCGACCGACCACCCGACCCTGTCGACATTAGTTTATGTCTCAACCGGCCGCTCCAGCCTGATCAACCAATTACTTAGGTCTAATCGACCTCCCCAGCCTGGTCGACTAATCACTTGCATGGTGCATGTTCTGCATGTGCATTGGTGTCTGAATGCGTGCTTGTATGGTGCACTAGACCCTGTATGTGCTTGTCATTTGCACGTGTTTGGTCGTTATTGGGGCAATGTGTGATTCTCCCTAGTGGCGTCTTATACTCTAGGCGACTGAGCACGAGATGTCCCCTGTTATATGTCTTGCATGATATCTTGCATAGTCATTATCACTTGCATGAGATGCATTTTGTGTGTCTGTTCATACACTCACCCCACTTATGTGATTCTCCTCAGTGAGGATTATCACTCTTTCGGATCACTACCTCCATGTCACACCAATCTTTCGTGTCGCTGCATTCATGGCACACCCATTCTCTAGGTCCTCCTCTCCACGACACATCCACCGTGCAAAAGTATTGCCCTCTTCATGTGTTTCAAATTCTCTAAAATCCTATAAATCAATCTTAATCTTAATTCAAGACATAGCAAAGAAAACAAGATTTACTTGCATTCCATTCAATATATTTACACACGCAATGCTTGATATCTGAAATATACATGCTAGATTCATTAAATTCTGGCGTATTTGCTTATATATCTTCTAAACTGAAAATATGTGCATACTTTTTTAATCCCAAGTATTTACATGTGTTATACTTAAATATGAAATGAAGGTTTGTCGTTGCCTAATCATGATGCATTTACATGTGTTATATTTAACTTTCAAATGAAATTGTGCATATTTTTCTAATCTTTAAGTATTTACACATGTTATATTTGAAGTTCGAATGAGAGCTTGACTACTTTCAACTTTTCAAAGTATATACATATATAACATTTAATTGAAACGTTAAGTTTCAAATATATTTAAATATATAGCATCTAAACCTTTAAAATTAGAATATAGGTTAGTAAATTCCTCAAGTATTTATACATATAAAATGTCTAAATTCCATGAATTGTAATATTGAATTTTAAATTATCCAACCTTAATATATTTTCGTGCATAACACCTAAATTGTAATATTAAACTTCAGTCTTCAACATTGTTGTAAGCAGTTAGGTTTCCATCACTGTTTTGGAAATTCTTCTAACTAAATATAGATTTTCTGGAATTATTGGAGCAAATTCAATAGTTGCATACCTGCTGTTTTGGTGTTATGTTGTTCCTTACTCATATGAAATGGATATAGACAAACTAAAGAAGTTCAACTTTCTCATATTTAGACCCAATAAGAAGTATATATATATATTTCATAATATATCAAAGACAACAAAACTAAAATTGCATCGTTCAGATTTCATAATACATCCATGCATGTATCTCTCCATGGAAACAAGAAACAAATCCTGGAGTAAGAAGAGCATATAAGATATAGAACTGAAAAATTGCAAATGATGATAAGATAATTTGTGCCTTCTCATGTCATCAATGCTTTGTGTCTTCTAAAACCAAAACTTTCATTCTTCCAACAACGCTTTACCCTGAATATAAGTACAGCTCTATCATTCAAAGGTGTCATCTTTTTCAATTCAGCTCAGAGTTCTCTAATGCAATCTTCACCCAACAAAAGGAAAGAAACATTTATCCTCACTAGTTGCACTCATAATTATGCAAAATTTTCAAGCAATCCTCCGTCAATATCTTGATGTCGAATTCCAGAGCATTTCTTAGCCCCGACAATTTGGATTATCTTTTCTTTTTTCCAATAAACAGCTTATAATCTAGAGTATGATAGAACAAACAATCATAAAATCCAAATTCAATAACCAACTAAGTGCCATTACCAATACCTAATTCATTGTCTGCTGTGGCGACCATCTTTTCAAGAAATCTCTAAAAAGCAGGCTAAGGACAGGGTTGTAACACCTAACTTGAAATAAAGAAGGGATCATTACATACACACACCTGATTCCTAAGTATTTACATGCCTAACTCCTAACCTTTACTTTTTTACTTTTTCAACTTCTAAAAAGCGAAATACATTTTTCCAAGCAAAGGGAAGATGACATGGCATGCATATTAATCACATTGCCATTACGGTGCACTTATGCTTACATCTTTGAATTCACTTATTCAAGCAAATTTCTCTGTGCACCTTTGACCTTTGCGAGTTAAACCTGGTCGTGGTCGAGGCATTGGATGATTGCAAAAGCTAGACTGGAAAAGAAGAAACTGACGACATCAAACTTCGCGTCGGTGAGATCTATCCAAACCAATTTAATAAGATAGAATATAATATAGTAAATAAACCTTTATATATATATATAT